ATAATAACTACTAATAATGGTCAAAATATTCATCAAGTTCGCTTTGTGAATTGACAGTTGGTAGATTATTAAATATATTGAAAAGTATGGGTTTGTAAAGCATAGTTAATGTAGAATTAGGAAAAGAACATATATTTGATAGGTTTTGTGTTGATGTTGTAGATGTTGAAGCTGTAGTTGAGTTTACTTTTGAATTATTTTTCATATCATAATATTTATTTTTTAATAATTCTTGAATCTCATCTATCTTATCAGATGCGAATTCTATTTTTTTAATATGTGAATTAAGAATAGAAGGTAAATATGAAGTGATATCTCTTTTCCAATAAAAAAGTATTGCATGATATAGTGTTTTTTTTTATTTTTTCTAATGCATTAGAAGTTTGTATTAGTTTATCTAAATCTATTTTTTTTTGTTTGTTCATATCTTGTTCGTCGATTTCTACAAAAATATCTTCAATTTTTTCAATATTTATTTCATTTGTTTCATTTGTTAATGAAGCAGGTTTTAGCATCTTAAGAATTATAGTTAATAAAGGACTCATTATACTGTAAGTAGCATAGTTACTACCACTAAGATATCTAGTTATTTCTTCAAAAGGACCTAAGACTGGAATAAGATTACGAAGCAAATTCCATTCATCATTTGTTAACATTATTTTAGTTAATTGTTGAGAATCTTTCTTACTATCTTGATTATTATCTTCAGCTAAATTAGCTTCAAGTATGCGAATATATCCTTTTAATTCTAAAAGTCAGCACCATGCCAAATAGCTAGAATTCCAACAGGTTAATATATCAGTGATTACATACCTTAAATATTTTGATGTTTTACCGGCATCCTAAGTTAAAAAAAAATATCTAAATAAAAATTTATAATTAAATAATTAAATAAAATAAAAAACATACGATAGCAAGTTCCTTAATAAAAAAATAAATTAAAATATATAAATTTTTAATAAATAAAAATTAAATTAGTACTATATAGCGCATATTATAGTACTCTTAGTGAAAAGTACTCCAATTAATAATATCTGAGTATAATATATAGCCAATTAGAAAATAGTTATATGACTAATGCTTAATTTATATATTTCTGATTTTAGTGCAATGCAGTTGTA